TATTACCAGCATTGATCCAGAAATCCATTTCTTGGCGGCGCAAATAAAATATTTTTTATTTTATTTACGTCTTATCTTTACGATGTATTGCATATTGAGCAAATAATTTTGAGGACACACCTATTTTCGTACTTTCATCTACATTTAGTACTGTTTTTTAATGTCTTATCAGTTATTGTGAACTCGCCATAGGTTTACTTTATGTTGCAAAGAAACTAAAGTTGTGTCTGCCACAAACATAGACAAGTCATCAACTAAAACAAAAAAACAAATGACTACAGCTTATTCTAACACAATTTCAAAAACTAAAAAATATCTCTCCTTTTTCCTAACTCAGTCCAAAATACGGCTACGGGTGTAAGCCTTTTCCTTTCACAATAATATCAACCAAAGACTTTCCGCCTACGGTTGACTCGATTATGTTTGTCGATGCATCGTTCGATATTCAGACGATTCCATTCGATTCCTTCCCCCGAAATTTGGGGAAACGACTAATGCGAATGTGGGTTGTACTGATAACTCGAACAATTGGTGACAAGTAAACGTTCGTTTGTATATGCATAAACATAATATACTATGCTTTATAGGTGTTAACATAAGGTCCCAAATGGTGTTGTAGCTGAGTTTTAGTTTAAGAATAGAGTCAAATTGTAGATAAGTCGTACTTAATGTATACTTTTTTTATATAATGTTATCGAAAATTGGTTGAAATGGTGAAGGTTTTCGGTAAAATAAAATATTAAAGTACCACGTTGCTATTCAGAAGCTGCGCGACAGTCGCCGCATTGCATGTCGCAGAATGCTGCTCATGAATATGGGCCTCTAGCATGAATTGAAACTAGTCGAGTATCTCGTCAAAACAATTACGTTAGTTAGCTGGAAACATAATAATTAATTTACCTAGATAAAATTTGTAGCAAAATAATTCTGCTTACGACCATTTATATTGTAAGGTGTAACATACTAATATATGTATATTAAAGGTTATAATATATGTATATATAACTGGTTGTAGGTTAAATTATAAAAGTGGCTGCGTCAAAATTTTTAGAGAATTTGTAATGGAAAATATTCTCAATAAATGTTTACGAAATTTTCTTTTAACGAAACTTTTGACCTGAAAACAAAACGTTTTATATTCTGCGCACACTACTTATGCTAATTCTTTGAGCTTAAGCTTTGAACTGTTAACCTTACAGTGCAGTTTATAAAGCCGACGTATTTCCAACCGCAGTGTTTGTGGGGGCTATTAATAATGCTTTAACTTTATTTTTTTTTATAAATTACGTGCAAACCTTTTATTGAATGAAATTTTAAATACCACGGAGTAAGGAACCCTATTGCATAACCCAAACTCGACTGCATGGTTAGTGCGGTGGCTGGGCAACTGGCTGCCGTGCAACGTGTCGCGGATTCGATTCCCGCATGAAACAACTCTTTGTGTGATCCACAAATTGTTGTTCCCGCTCTTGGGCGTCATGTGTATGTTAAATTGTATGTTTGTAATCGCACCCGCGACACAGGAGAAAATCCTATTGTGGAGCATTATTAAAAAAATAACCACAAATTGCACAACTTTTTATTTTATTAATAAGTAATTTACTGGCATGGTATTTGTGTGGCCCAAAGACCGTGTTCGTTAAATAATCCTAAAACCTTGTTATATTTACGTGTATGCCATTATTAGTTTTTAAAATGGCTACTTTAGACTCAGGCGACAGATCAACAAATTAATTAATACCTAGTAGTAAGGTACATTAATTATACATTTTTGTAATCTTTTACTGGTCAAGTTGCTCGATGGTCATGATATACATGCGAAAATAAATTAATAAAAGTAAATGATTATAAATAAAAAAAAAACAATTGTATGGATGCATAGATCGATGTTTATTATAAGAGGTAGATTATAGTCTGGTACACAAAGGCTATTTTTACTGTGAAATACAATTAAATATTTTGGTAAATCTACCCCTTGCTCAGTTTGTCTTTATTTTTTTAAAGGTAACTAGTTTCTGCTACCTGGTTTCACAGGGGTTAGTGTCAGCCGGGGTTGTGGGGCAAGCGCAATGAGGCACCGTGGCCTTGGTCCAGAGTAATAGAAGAAACAGGGTGTTTTAAGTCAGTTACAGTATGGCACTACCTCCCACCACACCGTGAGCGGGAAAAGTCATTTGATAATTTCCTCCTCACCAAAAAAAATAGCGGTTAATGTAGCTTCCAATCAGTGAAAAAAATATTAAATCGGTCTAGTAATTTAGGAGCATATTCAATCCAAACAACCAAGCTAACAATAAAATCTTTCCTCTTTATGATGATATACAGATTCCTTTCGTACGAGTATATGACTTCCATAAATCTGCTTATTAAATGATAACAGTTATTAATTATATCTATCTGGCAAATATTTAGATAGCTTTGACTCGCTTTGCTATATTTAATTTCCTTTTGTGATTCGTTCATTATACTCTAGTTATAATTAGACATTATTTAAAGATAGTCTCATGATATTCAAATAATTCGTCATTATTATTTTATTAATTAATAAATTTAGATTCTAGCTTTTACTCGCGGCTATGCTTACTTAAATGAATTTTCCAGAACATTTTCTTTCTTCTCCATAGTTTTAACTCTCATCAGCATCAAATTATAAGTGCCCACTGCTGACCCAATGCCTCTTTCCATATGGAGAAGGTTTCAGCAATACTCACTAGATTTGCTCAAGGCAGATTTCAAACTTATAATTGGAAACTATATACATATAATTCCAGATTTCCTCACAATAATTTCCTTTTTCGTGAAGTTTGGTTTTAGAAATTTATGTTAAAAAAAATAACACAAGTGGGGCTCTTTAGGGCTGATATTCAGCAAGGGTTGCGGACCAAACGCAGTAAGTCTCCGCGGCCTAGAGTAGAAGAAGGAACGGAGAGGTTTAAGTCAGTAAGATTCTGACACTCCCTCCCCCCCACCTTGGTTAGGAGAAGGCGTTTGATGATTTTCTCCTCACAAAGCCTTTAAAGTATGACATAACACTTAACTTAATTTTTAAAAGCAACAAATAAATACACTCTAATTTAAAGTCTTTGGCTTGACTTCGTAGTATTCAGAATTAATCAAATTAGAAATACCTAAATTTAGTTACATAAAAAATCAACTTAGGTATATGAGCAATTAATTAAGACTTAATTCAAATGAAACGTTATCCTCATCAAATTAAACAAATCAGTCGAACAATCCAGAACTTGTTTATAAGTAAATTACATTTTCAGTTTCCAATTAATTTAACTCGTAAAATATTTGTATATTTACACTAGAGTTAATTATATTTTTCGCGTCAGTTCTATGAAACATTCACACCTGAACGAGCATCCGAATAATTAATGTAATTTCGTTAGTAAAACTTGTAGGTTTCATTCGCTTAATTAATAATTTAAATTTATTCATGTTAATACTTTATAATTACCTCCAATACATTTTGGCATCAGTAAAACGAAATCTCTCTCTTTTTATTTAAAAACTGTTATGAAAAGGAAGGAAGGAAGGTTTTTGCCTAATTTTCGTGTAAACCGAAGTAACAATCAAATACTTGTAATGAGAATGGGTTCAATAAAACAAAGGGCAGGGCTGAAACTCACAATCCCTCGATCCCCAATTGTGGTTACCCAAATGTACGGACTTTTTTCTTTAGTGAGAAAATATAAATTCAATCTCACACAGCACAAGTTGATTATGTATTCGATCAATTGTCTCGGGAGATGATATAGGAAAGTAAGTTAAAGTGGAAAGTAGACAGCCGCCATTTTATTGCGGCAAATCGACGAATACAGAGAACGCTGTGTAGGCAAGGAAAATGCCGAACGGGTGGGCATTACTTTTGCTCTACCTACATGAATGCCACCGAACTCATGGCCTTTACAAATTCTACTGCAGAAAACCATTTGATTTGACTTTTCACAGATATCTCTGTCATTACAAATGAATGGGGAAAAATAATGGAAGCGCCTCCATTTTTTTAATTGAATCGTTTTGTGGTACGGACTAAAAGTGAAAAATTTATTTAATCTCAGCCCCGCATTAGCCGAATTGAACGAAAATATTCGGCGTTCCGAAATCCCGCACGAAGCCATTAATCGTTTTGATGTCACAGTATGGGACATTTAGTGTGACCCTTTTTATGCGCCAACCTTTCCCGATTTACGTCCCTAATCGCCGAATACCGAACGCTGAAAACTGAAACTCAGGCGTTCATATGTTGGTCGAGTTAAAGCGGTGCCAGTTCATTGTGAAGGATTATACAAATGATGTTTTGGAACATGAGCTGCTGTATTTGTTTTACAAATCGCCACTTCGCCACTTCTAGCTTTTGCAGATTTAGACTCGACCCTCTGTAGCTGTATTTTTGTTCGTTATCGTACATATGCTACTGGCTTGAATGTGAAATGTATTCACATAAATTCATTTCTGTCATTATTTCATATTATCTGATGTCAATATTGTTTTTTTTACGTATCCAATATGTATTTGTTGTGTTAGCATCAAGATCATTTGAATTAAATGGAGTAACAATTACTTAGGGTAAACAAAGTTCGCAGCGATTTTTGATATGGATGCAGAGATTTATATAATGAAAGTAGATCAATTGCTATAGAATTCAGTAGCATCAGCAATTTCCCCACTTTTGTTTGTGCAAGCCTGACCCAATTTAAACCAATTTGAAAGGCCAATTCGACCTGTACCTATTTCTTCTGATTGTATTTGGCTATCGTTGAATATAAAGCTGATTCAACTGTTCGCTGTATTGTTTATCAAGAGCCCTTGCAAAGTGTCAGTTAATTTATTCTAGTAATTGTGAGCTGGGTGGATAAGCTTTTGTTTAAAGGTGAAGGGCCATTTAATGTTGTTGATAGGTAACTGGGATGTACGTGGCGGTCTTTAACCGTTTTCTTTATAGTGTAAAGTGTATAAAGTGGTAATTTGATCGTGACTATTGTTTGTAACAGGTCAGCTTCAAGGATCTGGCTACAGTGAGCAAGAGCCCGAGTTTCTGTCACCACTAGAGAATCTGACAGTGGCACAAGGCAGAGATGTACACTTTACGTGCACTGTCAACCATCTTGGCACTTATAAGGTGAGTTACATTTTCCATTAATTTCTTAAAAAATCTTTTTCGTATACTTATTAGTTCTATTTTATTATGTGTTACAATGGACTATTAAGCCTTCATGGGAAATAACTTACCGTGATGTTAGTTTGTGCCTCTTGCAAGTCATTAATGTATTATATCTCTACTAGCTTTGCCCGTGATTCCGTTCGCGTGGAATAGTGACTTCCTGCAGGTTTTTGTTATAAAAACTACCCTATGTCTTTTCTCGAGTTCAAAACTATATCTGTACCAAATTTCACAGAAATCGGTTCATTAGTTTAGGCGTGAAGAAAAGACAGACAGACTGAGTTACTTCCGCATTTATAATATTAGTTTGGATACATAAACTGAATCACGAAATGTGTTGGTCAGCGCATATCTCAACAAGCAACGCCTGGATCACTTTTGCCAATATTTTTGTTGTGTTTCCTTTGTCAGGAGAAGGTTCTTATCAAAGAAAATTTTAGAAAAGTAGAGCAGAAAATTGGGAATGAATCGGGACCTCTTTGTCGATAGCGAGGTAGTTGGATGGCGATTTTAAACCAACGATTCCTAATGATTAGTGGTGTTAATTAAAAAAAAGTCACATTGGAATTTGTAAAGTTTCGGACCTTCATGCATGAGAAGCTGCCTTAGCCTCAACCTGCGAGCCACCACGACAGTCTTTATGTACAAACTTGTAATATTTAGTTACGAAGAAAGTTTACTCCATTTGTACAATAATACACACACATACATAATACAATACAAACATATATTAAAGTATCGTGTTAATGTGAATTGTCATTGTTGTTTATCAGACCACAAAGTTTAATAACTCGAGCCGTGAACTGAGAACTAAATACATATTTACAAACTTATAGTTTAAAGTAGTTTGCCCTATTTCATGTTGACTCAATATTTTGTGGGACGCTATTGTCTCCCTTGTCACACTCATAAAGAGGATGTTATGTTTTTATAATAACTATCGTGAGACATACTAAATTAACTAAAATTCGCGGGTTACTCACGTACAAATGTTGAGAAAAGCTCTACTAGTTTCGAACCACAGAGGGGTTCTTCCTCATGAGCAGCGTGCGCGGACGCGGCGACGTCGCGCAGCCTACTGGTTAGCGTTGGCGCCTGCATCGCTGTTGATGGTTGCGCTGCGGCGAGTCCAACGCGCCATCTGCCGGATACCACGCGCGTTTGCTGCCATCTCCGGCGGCGGTGCGTGTGACGATGTTGAGGCGCACGGTACGTTCACCAGTGGCGCGGGTAGTGGGTTCACACTGACACGCGGTGGGTACAGCTAGTGGATCCTTAAGGATCCACTAGCTGTACCCGGTGTGTACATTATACCTTGCGACTGTGGCTCAAGTTACATCGGTGAAACTCGGCGCAACATCACAACCAGGCTAAAGGAACATATACGTAGCGTGAAGAAGATGGACATCCAGGCATCGGCTGTGGCTGAACATGTTTGCGGCACGGATGCGGCTCACTTCATACGTTTTGATAAGGTCTCCGTACTGGCGAGGGAGAAATACTTCGTTCCGCGAAAAGTGCGAGAGGCTATCGAGATTAGCCGACGTCCGTGTTTCAACAGGGATGGTGGCTGGGCATTGCCACCCGCGTGGAAGCCGAGCTTGGAGACTACGTCGGTCCGAAGCGTATCCAGTCTGGAGTGTGACACAGTAAGCGTCATATGTAACACAGACTTTGTGCCGGGCCCGGAATCGAACCCACTACCCGCGCCACTGGTGAACGTACCGTGCGCCTCAACATCGTCACACGCACCGCCGCCGGAGATGGCAGCAAACGCGCGTGGTATCCGGCAGATGGCGCGTTGGACTCGCCGCAGCGCAACCATCAACAGCGATGCAGGCGCCAACGCTAACCAGTAGGCTGCGCGACGTCGCCGCGTCCGCGCACGCTGCTCATGAGGAAGAACCCCTCTGTGGTTCGAAACTAGTAGAGCTTTTCTCAACATTTGTACGTGAGTAACCCGCGAATTTTAGTTAAGAGGATGTTAATAAATGTATTTTTATTGATTTGGTTTAAGTATATATATTATAAAGAAGCAAAATTTGTTAGGTTGTATGTAGGAGGTAATCTTTGAAACCACTACCTGGTCGGATTTTTAAAATTCTTTCACTGATAGTTAGCTATAATGTTCCTGATTTACGTATTTCGGCCGAGCTATCGATTTAAATGCTGTTTTTAAAATCCCGGGATACATTGCTATTATACGCGTTACGCGGGTGGAAGCTAGTTTGTTATAAGCTTGGTGTTTTTTTTTTAGTGTAATAGGTCGGCAAACGAGCAGACGGATTACCTGATGGTAAGCAATCAGCGCCGCCCATGGACACTCGCAACGGAGGAGTTACGAGTGCGTTGCCGACCTTTTAGGAATTAGGGATTTGGATATTTAGGGATTGAGGAGGGATTGGGGGTGGGGAATTATTGGGCCTCCGATAACCTCACTCACACGGTGAAACATAACGCTGAGGTTGTGTCACGCCGGTTTTCTGTGAGGTCGTGGTATCACTCCAAACGAGCCGACCCATTCGTGCCGAGTAGAGAGAGAAAACATGGTTCTGCTACACTTAAACTTGTTCGGAAATTTCTTTCCATTCAAATATTTTCTTCGTTTTCATACAGTCATTAGCGTGGATGGTGACCTTGAGATTTGTAATTCGAATTTTGGTGTGCTTATTCATTGTACTCTATGGTTAAGATGCAGAGAACTCTTTTATCAACAAATTGCTGTTCAGAGTCGAGGTGTGATGTGTAAATGAAATTGCATGCTTGTGAATGCATAAAAGAAGAGAAAATTTTAAATAAAGAAATTAAATTAAAAGCCGTTTACTATTAATTAAACTTGAAATCTTCTTAAGCTTAAGGTATTCCTAGAACATGACTCAGCATTGGACCTAGCATGTTGGCGGGACTGTAGGTGTGAATAAATATAAAATTATGCTAAAATAGCATTTAGTTTCTACTGTGTGGGTCGAAATTTGTGTGGAGGTAATTTTGACTGCTGACAATTAAGCTATTTTACAAGTGCATTGACCTTTTAAGACGTGAATTATTTGTTTTTAATCACATGTTGATATTTCACTTATTTATTTTATAATATTTTTTCAAATAACTTAAATACCTTTTATTTTGTTGAGAGTTAAAAATGCCATGTATTGAATTTAGTAGCTCGTTTCAAAGCGCACATTTCTATTAAAAAAGTAGTCGTTGAACTATTTCCATTTCGATCGATTATTTTTTTTTCTCGCATCGCAGTTCCAATGGGAATAGATGATGCTGTATTGGAAATATGGAAAATTACTGCAAAACTAGACTGCGTGGCTTGCATTGAACGTACATTATAGAATTATGTTGTAAGAGAGCTAAGCTTCGCCGCGAATGGGTCGGCTCAACCGAAGTGATACCACGGCCTCACAGATAACCGGCGTGAAACAACTATACGTTGTGTTTCGCAGTTGCCGGAGGCCCGAATCTCCTCCTCCCCTCATCCATCCCCAATCTCTTAATCTCCAAAAGGACGGCTACGTACTCCTACGTTGTTGCGGGTGTCCAATCAGTCAGCTTGTTTGCCGTTCTATGATTAAAGAAGGATCTTTTTTAGATGATTTGGTAGATTTGGCGGAGTTGGTGCTGCTAGTTAGACCTCTAAAACCGAAATGATATTGTATTTTGCTTACGGTCGCTCTGCAATTTTCATTAGTTTGTTATGTCATCGGTTCTATTGAAATGTGAACGCATCAATTTTAGTGTCGAATTTGGATTAAATTCAATCCTTTCCTACTAATATTATAAGGCGAAAGTTTATGAGAATGTAGGGTATCGGGAATGTTTGTCAAAAATGGCTAAGCCGTTTAATTAATTTTATAAAGAGGTAAAATTTGTAAGTTTGTACGTAGGGAGTAATCTCCGGAACTGCTGGTCGGATTGCCAAAATTCTTTCACTGATAGATAGCTACAATGTTCCTCAGTGCTAATAGGCTATAAAACATCACTATAAAATTATGAAACCGTGCGAGAGAAGCTAGTATTTCAATAAATGCAGCTAATAAAGCTGTTGGCAAAAGCCTATTCATCATTATCCTCATCTAATAAAAGGCTGCAAAACAGTTTGCTTAAGGGCTTAGATTATTTGTTTTACCTCAATCAAATTTATTCCTACTTCTATACGTAAGTAATTTTATTATATTTCCTTTCACAGGTGGCCTGGATAAAATCAGATACAAAGACGATCCTAGCGATTCACACACATATGGTGACTCTGAATCCTCGATTGTCAGTCACCCACAACGGCCACAACACTTGGAAGCTGTACATCAGTAATGTGGAGCCTAAAGATTCTGGCACGTATATGTGTCAGATAAATACAGACCCTATGATGAGTCAGGTAAGTTATATTATCATTTGATTGGTGTATTTTAGCGGCAGCTAAAGAAATGAGGCATCGGAAATTAGATGTTATGAATAAATATTCCCATTGTAGGTTGTAAAACGAAACGAAATAAAAAAAATATTCGTAGCTCAAAAGTATTTGGAAACAGTTGAGGAAAAACGTCACAGTTACACACTAGCAATAAAACAAATGCAGTCTTTACATAGCTCACTAGAATCACATAAAATAAGTGATTACAAAGTTTTCAGTTAGAAAACATGACGATGAACACAATATTACAAAGCTTTGGTAGGAGGATTTGAATTTGAACTTTATGTTTGTACATTGTTAGTCTGTTTTCGTAAACCCAGAGTACGTGGCCATTTCTAATTAAAACAATGTTGCAGTTTGGCTTGCTTCTGATTTCCATGTACATGTTGCCTACTGGGTTTGTATTGCTTATACATAAGCAGAAACATATTTATTAGAAATTGTTCCAAATAATACTTACCCGATTTCCAAACGCATGTTGGTACCTTACATATATTATGTCGATTACTAATTAGTAATTAGATATATGTCTTTCCAGCACACAATTCCCATTCCCGGTTTCCCCGGAAATAATTAGACTAAACCAAGCATTCATTACACAGTAAAAGCAAATCATTGAATTGTGTAATAATATTATCACGCCCATTGTTAAGTCATGGGTAAATAATTAGTGTATTGAATATAATACCTTTGTCACATAGCATTTAATTATTTACATTCAATATATTAGTTTAATTAGTGCATCGTTGCTTATCAATAATGGATGGTAATTACCGTTTATATATGAGAGCAGACTGTTAATATTAAAATCTATGCAATCGATGCGGATCGTCAGCTTGCAGCGAGCTCCCGGTCTATGTCACGTGCCGAACGTTTGATCTGAAACGATAGATAAATTAAATTCGTATTCTTCGTATTTCGATTGTACATTTAAACATATTCTATGCAAGCACGGAACGCGTCTGTTGCATGTTATTCTGGCTGACTTTTTAGTGATTTAACAAACGGCGTAAGCTAGCTTTTGTACTCGTACTATGGATATTTTTTGCTGCACGCTGCCCTCAGCTATGACCGCATTTTCCGGCATGAAATATATTCGCTGTGCTAATCCTAGATACGTTTCAGCGTTGCACTGAAATGTTATCCAATTCTGTGATTAGCTAACTGGGTGCGGTTTTGTGTTATACAATCTGGGTTTTAGCTACAGTTTATTAGAGTGGAAATATTTGTGTAAACATTTTTTTAGTAAATAAAAACAGGATTGGTTATGGATCCGAGGCCAGCTTTTTTTAAACACAAATTGAAGCTGAAGAGATTTCAATAAATTTTGCTGCAGTATGAAATGGGAATTTTGGAAACGGTTACACATACGAGTACTATGTATTTTCAGAGGGGAAATATCTCTCATTTCATGTTCACTTTGATTTTCCTGTTCCCCTTTTGTTGGATTGATTGACACCAATCTATTGTCGCGAGTATATTGCAGAAAAAACTTGGCATATATTTGTTCCGTCTTGCGTTGCAAAGGAACTTCCAATATTTGTACTACAATAGATATTATTTACATGAAAAAAATGGAGTCGTTTATAAATAAGATAGTCATTAGCACCATATTTATCAAAATATAAAGTAAAGTAAGCACGCACCATTTATCATACCATTAATACCGTCATGGCGTATAAAATAGAATTTTCAATAACGTTATATCACTTTTGGGCTAGTGTATCGGAAATATTGACTAAATTGACAGATTAATGATCTATCAATTCTAAGATAAGAATCTCGGACGGTTCTGCTTGGCTAGACACGCCGATATATCTCGATGAGACATCGATACCTATGCGACTCGATTATACTCGCATGAAGGGTACATAGTTTCGAAGGAAAATCATATTCAGTAGTGAATTGTAAAGATATCGTTTGAGTTTGTGTGATATGAGTTTTGTTGTTTGAATAAGAGGTGAAAACTAATAATCCTGAAATGTTGAGAAACTTGGCAATGTCTTAGATAAAATCGTTTCAAACGAACATTAATGATTGACATACTCAAGCGTAGTGTCTCTAAGCAAACGGCTTTGTACACTAAAACATAGCAAATATTCCACTAAAGCGGCAAATAACTAGAACATTTTTAATCACTATGCATACTCTTATGTTCCTTAACTACATCATCATAAGGGCTACATTCCTAAACGCGGTGTGTCAAAGTGTAGACAAAATTGTTACGGCGAGGCATCATTCCGGGCGCGCCAGTCACGGGATAACTTTCATACAATATTATTATAACCAAGGCACTAGCTCACCTAAGCCAGGCAGTTCTATGCTATATTTTACTGCTAAACCTCTATCGAATGTTGTGTTTAAAACTTTGGGCTGAAAATGTTTTTACAAAAAGCAGTTTTTCTGTTTTTACAAGATTTATCGATACTGATTAGTTTGAAAATTATTGGTAAGGGTAACTAGTCTTGAGTAAGTGCGTATAAATAATCTAATAATCTTTGCTAGGTAAATCTTGTAGCTTACAATAATTATGAAAAAGAATGATTATTAGCTACGATTTTAAAGAAATAGTTTCGTTTGTGTTCAATATTAGTTGATGTGAATAATATGTAGGTATGTGACTTGAATAATCCTTGAATTTGATCAAACATACCAGGGAGTTTATTTTCAAACGCAAAGAAAATTGAGGTTAGTTTTGGGAATAACAAAATGTCTATGGTAACAAAATCACGGGACTCGTTCAGTATTATTACAAAGAGAAAATGTGTAGACTAGCTAACTATATATTACATGAACGCTTGTTCGGTTACACGATGCTCTTATTTACTGAAAAGGGAAGTAAGTATTGGATCCTGTGTTTATGAATTTTAATTTTAAATTTGGTTCTTGATATTTCGTTAGTGTTATTAAAACGACTATTTCAGGGTAAGTGTAAAATGAATTCTGATTGTAAGTTTGGGTTAGTTATTGTTAGGTGTCTGTTTGTATAGTGATCTATGTTTCGAGCTTCAGCTAACGCTGGGCTGCTAATGGAACCCAGGGCTGATGGTCAGTCAGGGTTGCGCAACAATTGCAATTAGGTACCGCGGACTAAGGACCTCGTCTTGAAGCAGGAGAAGGAAGGAAGTGGTTGTTAATCAGTAATAGTCTGACAGCCCCACTCGCTCTATCCTATGCGACAAAGGTCATTAAATGAAATTCCCAATAAAACAAAAATTGCTTCGTAAATATTTTTCAGTTTCCTTAAGTCGGAAACATACTTATATGCCATTTCGTGTAGCAAGGAAACTGATAAACCTCTAGCGCGTTGCGACATGTCACGACACACAAGCAAGAGTATATTTGCGCCTTAAATCGAAAAGCCATAGCGAGTCACTGCCTATTATATGGGACTGTGAATCTTGCAAATTAGAATCGGTTGTTACATTTAGGGCTGATTTTTCAATAGTCAGACAAATGTTATCTGAGGACTAAAATTTATTGCTGTCACTGTCACAAACGCGATAGCATCATAATTATTCCCCAGGTGACTTTATCTTACTATTGAAAAATCAGCCCTTTATATCTCTGCCTATTTTTCTCTATTCTCTGCCTCTCGGCGACTAAGATGAAAACTGGCTTGAAGCAACACTTATGTTATTTCACCGTGTGAATTAGGTTACCAGAGGAGGCCCAATCCTTCTCACCCACATCCTCAATCCTCAAATCCCCTATCCTTAAATCCCTTATAACCCATAATAGGCCGGCAATGCAATTGTAGTAACTTTGGTATTACGAGTGTTCATGGCGCTGATTGCTTAGTAACAGGTGATTCGAGTAGTTGTTTGCCAAGCTATGACATAAAAAATGAAACATAATATATTATAAATTAATAAAAACATGTTTTGGAACAGTAATCATTGTGAGACGTACTACATTAATTAATAATAGCCACTAATACACGTGAACTAACTAAGAAAAGCTGTACTAGTTTCAAGTAACATTAGGGCTCTTATTAATGAGCAGCGTGTGCGTCGCGACGATATCGCGCAGTCGACTGAGTACTCCTGGAGTAGTCATGGAGAAGTTAATTCAAGTGATTAATTTGTTATTTTCAATATATAATGATAAATAAATAGTAAATTATTGATCAGTTTGCAGATGGATGGAAGGAAACTTTTCTTGTTTTTTTGTTGTTTATGTAATTGGATAATATACAGTTATATGAAACATACAAATTAAGTGAAAATTCTTTCCAAAAACTTTATCTACACATTGTATTCGTATTCTACAGAAAATCCCCAAATATCTTATTACCGTATAAGGAAACCCTAACAATAAGGTGTCATGGAGTACTGTTCTCTACATTACGTGCTTGACCCAATCACTTAACGAGTGCTCTCAAGGCGTTTATCGACCCTCCAGTAATGGGGTATAGCAAATTATATGATTGTAGGTTTTAAGCATAACAATATGAATATTGGCAGTTTTGTCTTTCTTCTCAAACATCTTTTTATACTGCCTTGTTTGATGTCTTTCATCGTCATCAGTTAAAAGATTGTTGTTAAGTACCGCCCCCGTAGGCTCTTCTCTAGCAGTCCCACGCTTGATAAGGGGGTTGGATATCGCAGATAGGTTTTAAAAAATCGTAGTATTATCATGATTAAAATGCAAAGACCGAAGGAAAATTCCCTGATTGTCATGCATATTGGTCGTATTTGAATCCTGGCAAGTACCAATGTGGCTTTTGCCGTGTTACATGTTCTTTCCATGTTTTATTTAGACATCTCTGTAAGGTAAACATAAAAACATCGTGAGCAAACCTGAATTATTTATTACCAATTATAAGTACCAATTTGCCTTGAGCAAGCAAGGTGGTTTTTTTTTGTGAGGGGAAGATTGTCAAATGACTTCTCCTGCCCAGGGTCGGGCGGGAGGGAATGTCAGACTCTTGCTGACTAAAAACCCCCCTGTTCCTTCTCCTG